AACGAGGGAGCGAGTTCGGGAGAATGAGAGAAAGAGCGAGCGAGTGAGCGTGAGCAACGTATAATTCAAAGGAAATTAAGCATTAAAGTGAATAAATTTTCATAATTGCGTTTTGCGCGTTGTCAGCCGTTTTGGCATCGCTTTTTGCTTTTTGCTTTTTGCTTTTGTAGTGCGAACAAATAAGAAGCAGAACGAGATTTGGATAGTCAATTGCCGTGTGTGTATGTGTGTGAGTAGCTTCTATTAACAGTTGAGTGAATGCATGTATGTGTGTGTGCGTATGTTTATCTCATACTCCTGAACTGTATTTGCTCATCATTTACATAAGCATGTATGTGCGTGTATGCGTGTGTGCACATAGTCACATGGGTTAATCACTTACGTTTGCGAAGCATCCACGAATTTGCATTTGAATATGCCGCGTGGCTAATTGATAAACGGCTCTCGGCATTCTAATTGGAAGGGCATAAGAAATTTCCCACGCATATTAATAAGCTGGGATATTTTATTATTTTTGTAACTAGGAGTTTACTACAACGAAATTCTAAAACAAAAGTGTTAAAAATGTTTAAGAATAAAAAAATATATTTAAATGTGTATATAAATACCATGAAATTTCATATTTAACGCCTTTAATGGCGATACTCGAAACGTATTAATATGATAATAATTTTGCCATGGAATAATTTTTTACTGTTGATTAACATTTGACTATCAGCTGTGTTTAGAATTGTAAACAGTTTATTTAGGCGAACTACAAGTGATTAATAGAGTTCAATAGCACAAGCTGTGCATATGTATGTATGTGTGTTTGCTTGTAGAATATACTAGAACTGAACAATTAGCAGTTGCTGATAACAGCTCAATTTCAATTCCATTTCTAATCTAATTTGTGACTTCAATTCGCCTCGTATTCACCGCCTGCCAACCCCGTTTCGTTTCCACACATATTTTCCTATAGTTGTGTGGCCCACGCACTTTGCCACATTCCGCGCATAATTCGCAGTCTCACGTGGGTCTTAGCTGCAATTTCGATTCCGTTGATTCCGTATGTGCTGCAGCTGTAAGCGTAACTGGATTTGGCCCCGCCCAGGCCACAGCTCCCGTTCAGTTTCGACCCATTCCGCCCCTCCCGTTTGCATACATATTTCTGTTTGCTTTTTTATGTTTCTTTTAATTAAATGTGCAAGCAGCTGCAGAAATTGGCAGCCACTGAACAGAAAAAAATAATAAGAAAATAAAAATAAATGTAGCTCATGCATTTTTATTCTTATACTTTTCACATTTTTGTTCAGTTTTATTTGATTGTGTTTAACTTTATTACGAATTCCAAGCTAAAGAACAAGGAATATTGCGTTTAGAAATCACACACACATATAAACACATACATACGTGTAGATATGCACAAACAATGCAGAGAGTATAAAAATATAAATATAACACCAACAACTACAAGTAGTAGTGGAAGAAGAGCAAGAACAGGAGCAGGAGAAGGAGGAGGAGGAATGGCGGCAGAGTAGAGAAGCCGCTGTAAAGTCGAGCAGTTTAATTACGCAATCAACAGTCGCATATGCAAAAATGCTGTTGCTGTTTCTTCTTTCTTTTTGTTTTGTTTTGTTATTGCTGCCGTTTAACGTTTCATTTCATTTGGTTTTTGTGCTGCTTCTCGCATATTTCATTTGCTGCGGCTGCTTTGCGCTTGTCATACGTCACAGGCAACAAGCCGATTAAATTGGGAACGACACACAGTCGATTATGAGAGAGGGGAGAGGAAGTGTGTGGGAGTGCCCGCAATAGCATGTAAATGAAATTGAAATCAACTATTGAAATGCTGCGTTCACAGCGTCAGTTGCAATGCTGATCTGCTGTCACTGCCTTTGCTACTGCTCTCTCCACTCTGTTACTCTCTCGCTCTTTGTTATTGTTTTTCTGCAGATTTAACTGTGACTTTTGAGTGGATAAACAGTAAACTCCCGCACTCGGTCAGTTGGTTAACTGTCACTTATTGCTGCTGTCTGAACTTTAGTTATGGATTGGGGTTGTATGAATGAATGAATGACTCATTGACAACGTACGTTTGCTTTGCAACTGTAATACCTGTATGACATGCAATTCTCATTACAAACTTTAAGTGGAATTAACATAGTATAAACTTATAAACTTTGTAAAATTTCCGTGAACAACATTGAGTTGTGAATCACGACATATTTATTTAATAAAATCATCAGATACAAATTATTCATATCTCTTGCTTCAACACGTTAACAGGGTATACGCAAAATAAAGCGAAATAAAAAAGAGTCTGCATGCAAATTAAAGCAGCGACCAGGCAACCAGCATTCGTGGAAGGCAACTGCGAATGGCAGGCGCAATGCAGAGAAGCAAGGAAACAGGCGAACGAGAGGAACAAGAAGTTGTTAACGCAGGTAGCAAGCATAAAACGCGGTCGCGTTTTGCGCACGCATCATTCACAGAATGAGTCTCAGAAGGAGAATAAGAAGAAGCAGCAGAAGCAAAGGAGCTATTCGCCGCTGCTTTGGCCTCTGATACTTTACCACCTGCCGCACTTGTTTATGACCGCCGACTTGTTGGCGTCTCTCGCCGCGATTGGACACTGGGACAGCCCAACGAAAGCGGAAACATGCGCATCAATGCACACATACACACATACCATGTATGTGTATAAATGAGCTTACACAAGACAACAACAGCAAAGCAGAGGCTTTAAAAGTAGTCAAGAAGAAGAGCTACAATAACATGACTGGAAATTGGCAAAGCCATTGCTGGCGCTGCCGCCGTCGCCGTTGCTCATCGTCGTCATCAACGCAGCGACCATGCGCTTTTGCTTTGGGGCCTCTTTTCTTTAGCTTCAGTTTAAAACTGGTTACGTCGCAACCAGTTTTACGTCGACTCTGTCTGTGTGCGTCTGTGTGTGAGTGTGAACGTGTGCTGGGGAAGCCGCTTATTGTTAGGTTCTTTTCGCTGCTACTTCTGCTACATATTCGGCCTTTGCTAATTGCTGCCGCAAATGTTAAAATGAAAAAAAAAAAAAACCATTAGCATGAGTCGCACGCTCTCTGCCGCTCTCCTTCTCTCTCTGTCTCTCTCTCTCTCTCTCCCTCTCGTTATGTCTCTATATGTGTATGAGCTCAGCTTTGCGCTGCATTTGAGCATGTGACGTCACTAAGCAATGATTGCGTGAGCTTTAACGTTAGATAAATTGAGTAAATGTATATTTTTTTCTTAATGACAGTTATTTATAGGGCATTACCAATGCGCACAAACTCGTTTTTAACGTACTATTTAACCACACAGCATACTTTAAGGCGATTTTTAAAGTTATCAGCGAACGCGTTCAAAGTGCAGCTCAATGTGATTACAATTTGTATGTGTGTGTTTGATACTTGTGCAAGCACACATTCAAGAGTGCTTTACAATTGAAAGCAAGACAATAATTCAGTTTGTGTTAACGCTGATAAGACCCGTTAATCTCGCTATATTTTGTAATTACGCGCATTTCTACACACACTTGCAAACATCTATATGCTCTCTTATCACATTAGCGCAATAACAGAAAAAAATTGTGCAAAAGTCAACTGCGCAGCCCAATCAAGCGGAATAGGCTATTGACAAAGAGAGAGGGAGCAAGAGAGTGTACGATAGAGCAGTGGCAACATCTGAGAATGGCACATTATGAAAATGGACAGTGGAATGTGCCTACATACATTGGAAAAGTGCGTCATTCGCAATTGGCTGGCCAAAAATTATGAATACCCTGTACTAATAATAAATAAAGCGTTTGTCACGTCTGCTTAGCTATGCAGCACAGAGTATATTAGTTTTTAAATAATTTTTATATAAAGGTGTTAAATGGATATAAGTGAAGTTTACATATATATATTTCAAATAAAAATATATAATATAACATGTATAAACATGTTATATCATACTTCAGCTCAATTATAACAGATTTGCCATTTTAGATAAATACATATATATATAAATTTTTTTACGGGGTATTTACTGTGCGACTAGCTACGCCTTTCTAATTTTCTTTTGTTTTTTTTTTTTTGTTTTGGGAATTTTTTTTGCGAGCATTGCGATTTTATTTATAGAACATTTAACATTGTCTATGCGTTTTGGCACAGACAAGAAAGAAGACACACACATACAGGCATATATATATACCATATATATGTATGTATGGACATGTACATATACAGGTGTACACATACTTAAGCACTTGGGCAGACGTTTAAAATTAGCAAATCGAGCCAAGAAATTCACTTGTAAACATTTTGCAAGCTAAACATATAAATAAATAAAAGCAGAAGTACATATATATATATATATATATATATATATATATAGCGCAATAACATATATATATATATATATATTTATATATATATATATATATAAATATATATATGTTTGTCTTATAATTTGCTTAGATGTTACTCAAATATTGCTTTGCCTGGCCTTCTGCGTTTGCCCATGGAAAATTAGCAAAATTTTCTTACTAGACACACACGCCCATAGATCACACACATAGCTGACGTCACTGAGTGAAATGTCAGTGTCAATGCGTGGGGGCCTCGACATTTAGTCTAAATAAAAGTTTGAACAGCTTTTCTTATAGCCAATTTGAATACAATTTTGGGGGCGTCTGGGTAAAGCTCATTGAATATTTCGAAAATTTGGAAAATTTGAAAAATGAATATAGCAAATTCATTATAATTAGCCTTTGGGGTCTTCAAGTTAGGCTTAAGGAATCAAATAAATTTAATGATATTTATCGATATTGAGAATATAGAATGAGTTATCGAAGACTACTTATCGAAGTAGGGTATAGCAGACTTTATATATTAAAAATTTTAGAACTGTATATATGATAGTTCTTGAATCTAAATCAAATATAAATTTTTACTCAGGAATTTTCTAAGAAATGCTTTCATAATTATATATAATAATGCCAAATTCTCCCTCTCTCTTTCCAGAATCCACTGTTAATTCGCGTAAAAATAATTTGGAATCAACACGCGAGAAATTGAAAGGTAAGTTTTAGATCATTGATCGTATAATCTATGGGTATTTCTCTATGCCTCGCGTTATCTCAACTGATATATATCATTGTCAAAGTTGGGGCTATCTCAAGTGGCCATCGCAGATAAGGATAGACATTGAACGACACTGAATCATCAGCAATATCCACCCAATGATTGACTGATTGAGGAGTATTTGAAAGCTATAAATAGTAGAGCTAGAAAGCTTACTTTTTAACAATTCAAAGACAACTCTTATTGAATATAAATCCTAGCTTTATCTTTAGTAATATCAAACGTTATTTGATTGACTGATTGATAAGCATTGCATAGGGAGGACTGTATTTTGTATAGTAAAACCATTCTTTAATCAACAAAAATTCTAACTTTGCTTCCTTTGCCACATTGATTGATTGATTGATTCATAGCGAAAATAGTAATACTTCAACATTTCACTGGTCAAAAATCCTGGTTCTATCAATATATAAAGATATTAATTGATAGATGATTGACTGGTCTAGCTTTACATCTGGACTTCTATTTCATTGATGATTCTCTGTATTTTATATGAACAACTTTCCATAAAGTTTTAGCGTCAAGCCCCGCATCAAACACTCAGCTTTTTGGATAGCTATGTATAAGGAATATGTGTATAGTATATATATATATATATATATATATATTTATATATATATATATATATATATATATATATATGTGTATGTATGATTGATGTATGATTATATATATTTATTTATATATTTATATCGTTGACCTTCGACTCGGTTTCCGTTTGTGCTTTGTTTTCTTTAGCGCGTTATCAGTGAGACACGAAGCACGCCCCAAACTCAGGTCGAAGTTTCTATGTCAGCCCATTCTATCTCTCTCACTTCCCACCCTCTCCGTCACTCGCGCTCTGATGTTTAACGCTATTTAATACAGTTATTATGGTGGGGCAATTACACTTGGAGACTATTTAAATGCTATAAATATAATACATATATGTCAATGCTCGACAATATTGATATCAATATTACATGTATATGTATATATATATATATATAAAAATATTATATATATATTTATATATTTGTATATATATATTTATATATTTGTGAGCATAAACTAGAAGTTGATAAAAAGCGAATGGCGTGATTCACAATAAAAGTACGCATATAGAACACAGCAAATAAATAGAGGAAATAATAATAATAATAACAATATGCGTTGCATATGGAGCAGCGAGAGGGGCATGCACGACTAGCAGATACCCAACAATTGAAGAGAGCAAGAGAGAGTAAAGAAGACAACGAGAGAGAGAGAGGCAGAGAGAGAGAGAGATATTCAGGGAGATAGAAAGGGAAAAGAGGGAAAGGGAGATAGATATAGAGAGCTCAAGCTAGAAACAGTCAGAGAGCGAGAGATCGATGAATAGAGATCGAGATACAGAGAGAGATAGCTAGAATGTTATAGGCATTGATAGATATATAGAATATATATACACCTTATATGTTACATACATTGCCACAAAACCAATATGCCCTACTTACACAATTGATATGGGCTTATTCACACACACACACACACATTTCGAAAGAATTTAATACGCATATCAACAAGAGATTATGGCTTAAGCAGGGCATACTAAATGTTCCCAGCTATATAAATGTATGTCTGCATGTATGCATGTAGGTATGTGTGCATGTATGTATGTATGCATGCATGTATGTATGTATAGCTAGCTTTTTTGCCAGCTGCTTTTGGCATTTCACTTTCGTTATCAAAGCCACTGATAGACGTTTACGTGACGTAGATACGATATGATATTATATACAGACCTATATACATATACATACACACATAGGTGTATAGATGGGGGCAGGGCAATGGAATTTAGATTGGCCCCAACCTTCTGATAAAGTTCGGCAATTAAGAAAGAACAAAAACGAAGTGCGAACAATAAATCAAATTTAGTTGGAAGACAAATTCGGGAACAATTTCATTTAGTGGGAAATCAATAGATATAAAAGTAGGTATATCTAAATATATATACTGTTAATTGAATTACTAGGAAGAAGCAGCCACAACACACTTTTCAAGACTTATTTAAGCAGAATTTAAAGTGACTTCAAGGCGAAGCTGAGCTAAAAGTGAGATGGGGAACTTGTGTAGCTTAGAGGCAAGAGATTAGTCTGGAAATGATTCAGGCTCAAATCGAGTGTTTGATATAAATAAATGACTTACTAGTCGGGACTGCTCCACTAGAATATACCCGGAACACTGCGCAGAGCTGATATTCACAATTATTCAACGTTTCATTTGATAATGTCATTCAGATGCGTGTACTCACTATAGGTAACTCTGGTAACTCTCTTGACTTCTTGCCTAAAGTTATATAAGTAGAACCTGAGGTAAAATTTCACATTTTAATAGATTCTTAATAGATAAAACTTACTTCAGAATTGTCGAAGCCAAACTCGTTCTGTTGATTCAACTTGAACAGCTTTTTTGAGCTGTTCTTCTGGTGTCTTTAACAGCTTCAACTTTGCTTGGATTGGTAAACAGTCTTAATTCTGTTTACCAGCCCTCGAGCCCTTTTCCGAGAACACTTCAAATCTAATTAGGATCGAGCAGTTGCTTAAGGTGCAAGGATATTCGATTGCCATAACTCGCCTGACACCCACAGCCAGAGCTCACTCACAGCTGGGTTTTTCCGCAGAAGCAATTGAGAACCTCTTCGAGCTGGCTACCTGAGTTGGCTAAGCCCGCTTAATAGCCCGGCCGCTGCTGCTGCCCTTCGGTCTGGCAGTCAAGTGGCTTCAATTCGTTTCTCTCTTGGCGCTAAGTTTTTCGCTCAGCATTGAGATATCTATTGATGATTTTTATGGGTTTTACCCGCTAAAATCTGTCAGGTTTAATGATGCCAGCCTGTCTGCAGTTTGAGCTCGGGATTTGCACAGTTGCCCAGGTAAAAGTGCACGAGGCACGTCATTACTCTGTCTCGCTGCTGTCTAGCTGGGCAGATAGTCCAGCAGCTAACAGCTAACAGCTACCAATGGAATGCATACTCAAATACATACAGCGCATAGATATAGACCGATTTCTGTGTAGAGATACATTGATATAGTTGTAGATAGAGATAAATATAGATACAGATACATTTCTACGGCTACGTATACATTTAGATACAATAGAAGGAGTCACATTCTTATGGCTCTAAATACATATAATATAGCAACAGATACATTTAGATTAAATAGAGCGAGTTAAAGATACATTTACTCAGCTAAACACACATTTACAACAACTACGGATACAATTCCACAGGTGCATATACTTGTTGATTACATACATATACACATAGATACAAATACATCTTGGCAATCATAGATACATTTGCTACAGACACAGATATATTTCCACTTTCGAAGATATATTCGCTGTAGATATGATACATTCGAATATCTACAGGTACATTATCAGAGCGATAGATACATTTACTTTAGCTTCAGATTTCAGAGATAAAGATACATTAGTTGAGCTACAGATACATTTGAAAAGCTAAAGATACATTACTAGATGCATATAGATACATTTATTAGAAGTACAGATACCATTTCATAGATTTAGATACATTAATTGAGCTGCAGATACATTTGAAAAGCCATAGATACATTCCTAAATACATTTGGAACAAGTGCAGAGACATTTCCATGTCTCTAGATATATTTGCACAGTTACAGATACATTCCTACTGCCCACAGATACATTTGCACAGCCATAGATACAGATACAGACGACAATCAGCAGCAGCAGCAGCAGCTGAACATTCACAGCATATTTTCATTGGCGTCGCAAGTCTGCGATCGTCTGTAGAGCTGCTCGACTGCTTAATATAAAACCAAATTCATAGCAAATGTATGTGTGTATGTGTGTATGTGCGAATGTGTATGTGTGTGTGTCTCTCTGTTTGTATGTAAAAGTATCTGCGTGCCTCACAGCGACTGGCAAAGCTCTTCAACAGTCGCCCAACTGGCGATTCCCAATCAGCAGCAGCCAAGGCAAGGCAAGTCCACAGCCAACACACCAACTACACACACACACGCACGCACACACACTAGCACAACTATAACATGACACAGAATGAACTCATGCGCTGCTCTGATACCTCGACACAACGCAAAAAAAACAAAGCTGACAGAGACACTGAAAAGTGAGACTCTAGTGCCAGAGAACTATAATCGAGCAATAGACGAGGCAAATACTAAACACACCACACACACACACACACATAGACACTACACTAACACACACACACATAGGCAATTCGGCCAACACATGTGAAATACGAGTTAAGTTTCTCAATTTTGTTTTTTTACGCGCGTTTTATGAGCAACTCAACACTTCGTGTGACGCACTTTTGTTGAGCTGATTGATTGATTGAGTGTTTGTTTGATTGAACAACTAAGCCTAGGCAAAGCAGTCAGTTATATGTGGCTATAGTGACAGTAGTTACAAGTGCAATTAATGTCTACACAAAAAGAAAGTTTAAAGCAATTGATTGACAAACAAATTGCATGATTGACTGATTGAAGCACAATACGCGGCTCAAACTTTTTGATTTATTATCGCTTCTAAAGAAGATGTAGCAGAGCCATGTGAAAACGTCGACTTTTGATTGAAATGATTGACAAGCTTTGTTTTTGACTAAACAGCTGGAGTCCCTTGATTGAAAGAGCTTGATTATGAATTAAATGCTAAAGTTTTTTAATTGGTAATTCTTGTAGATTATTATTTCTGAATAATTTTTAGTTAATTATTTGGATAATTATTTTAGATCGTTATTTTGTCATTGTCATTCTAGATCATTATTTGTATCGTTTCAGAACATGTTTAGTACATGTTAACGCTATTTTTAGACCATTCGTCGATGTTTGTTATTAGCTTATTGTTTTGCCACGTTATTTTTATATCATCATATAAATATATCATAAATTATAGATGATTAAAAT